TTTTTCAGTCTGAAGATGGTTTAAATAAACCGAAATGTAACAAAAAACAATTTGTTTAATTAATTAATCGCCACCCTGGAGAAACAATGAAATTTATTTACCTAAGATGTGAAGGGCTAGTAAGCATATTAGAAACAGAAACAGAAGTTAAGAAAAGTAGATGCAGATCTAGATTAGATTACTTTTCACAAATACTTAACGATGCGGAATGCTAGATAAGTAGAGTTGTCAAAATCGCGACCGAAAATTCCAAAGTCCGGTTTCTTGTTGTAAATCCTTTCCGATTTTTTTTAGTTGTCATTAAATATAAGAGAATCTGTGATCGCACAGCAAAATGACCTATTTAAAAAGTAAAAGTAGCTTATTTGATTATCTACAAAATAAAAAAAAGTTTCGCTACGACCAATAGCTACTTTTCAAAATACAAAAATATACGAAAATCGGCTTTGTTGTTTTATTTAAATAACTTTCGTTTCAACTATACTAGGATGTTTAGATTGAATAATAATACCGTTTAAATCGTGTAGAAGTACTATTCACCGGATAGTTATTGAGCAATTCAATTAGCAACTTAAAAATCGCATAGTTTTAATTTGCATTAAAAAATTATTTATGGATCGTACATGTGTATTGATTTTACATGCTTGGATAATTGAATATAATAATAGTTAATTGTTAAAATTATCATTTTTTAATAATAAACGGTTATTTCGCCGACGGGGAAATCGGGAGAGTTCTGATCAAATTTACACATGGTACAGAAACCATAATAGGTTAATGGATTTTTAATGTGTCAAAGTGTATGTTTGAAGCGCGGCGCTGTACGGGTGCGAAACATGGACGGTGGGCGCGGCGGAAAAGAAAAGGTTAGAAGCGTTCCAAATATGGTGTTACTGGTGAATAAAGAAGATACCGTGGATAGAGAAGGTTAGAAATGAAGAGGTATTAGAAAGAATTGGAGAACAGAGGATTCTATGGAAGTCAATAAAAAATAGGCGAGATAGGTTAGTAGGACGCCTTCTCAGGCATAAAGGTCTAGTCAGAGACATATTAGAGGCAGAAACGAAGTTACGAGGGGTCGAGGTAGTCTTAGATTAGATTACTGTTCGCAAATAGTTAATGATGTAGGATGTTCTAGTTCTAGGAAATTGCGAAAATTAGCTTTGGATAGGAAGGAGTGGAGGTGCGTGTCCAACCAGTCTTAAAACTGAAGGTCTTAGATGACCATGAAACATGTTAAGAGTCGAACTTGAATTCATAACGATCGAAGCACTATTTTAAGAAATTTTTTGGATGTGAACAAAACTATGGAGATTACGGATAAGAATAAGGAGTCCGATCTCAATATGTATATTTAAGTGGTGCTGAAATTTAATAAAACAGTAGAGAGCGCTGCAATCGCTGTGAATTCAAATTGACAACCGATTCATCATCATCATAAGGTCGTCAGTCCTAAGACTGGTTGGACACGTACCTCCACTCTTTCCTATCTTGAACCAAACTTCGCATTTCCCTAAAACTAGAACAACCTACATCTTTAAGTATTTGCGAATAGTAATCTAACCGAGGTCTACCTCTACCCCTCGTAACTCCTGCTTCTGCTTCTAATATGTCTCTGACTAGACCTTCATGCCTGTGAAGGTGTCCTACCAGCCTATCTCGCCTATTTTTTATTGACTTCCATAAAGTCCTCTGTTCTCCTATTCTTTCTAATACCTCTTCATTTCTAACCTTTTCTACCCACGTTATCCTCATCATTCGCCTATAACACCACATTTCGAACGCTTCTAACCTTTGACAACCGATTAATATGATAAATAAAGTAAAAAACAAATAATTGTAACACCAGTAGATGCGTTGAAAATATTTTTTTGTCTCTGTAATGCGTCATAGGTCACGTTCAACAGTTTTTGTTTTGTATCAAGTGTACGTATTTTATTAACTATGAAACCAGACATATCTATTTCTAAAAGTTTCTTGAGGCTGTACAGTAAAAAGATGGCGTAGATATATAGACTGCCTTTAAGAAAAATAGTCATGCTTCAGTAAGCTAGTGTCTATAATGAAAAAGATCGTCCATGGCTAAAATAGTTGCTAGGTATCTTTCTTTTTAAACACCTTTCGACACCGGACGTTATACGGCAGATTACGATTTAATCACATGTATTAAATTACATTTAAAGAACGTCTGCATATTGGCTATTTATGCTACATAAAATACACATTTGTTTGTTTTTGTAGCTAATCCAACTTTTACTGATAATTTTTATTTAAATTTTGTACCTCTTCATTGTATGTCATGGACGAATCCTTTTTGCTAAGAGAAAAGTTCAAGTATAGGTAAAAAGAGTCCAAGTACCTAAATAAAAACGAAAAGCTGAAGCTTTAATCCCATTACAGTTGCTTTATCCTACCAGTAAAAATTTCATCCTTCTTTTTTTGCGTACAACGCTATAAAAATAGGGATTTGGAGTGCGGCAACTTTACCCTAATGATTTATGTATTTTACTCTTTTTTTGCTGTCTTTAATGCGAAAGGATTATACAAGCTCGATTATTGCAACTTGTGCTATTATTATTAATGTTTTCATTTATTTATGTTACGTATTCTTATATTTAAAATAAAAACTTAGTAATTGTAGAGAAAGTATTAAAAATATAAAATTTGACAGAAATTTGCATTTCGAGTTTTTATTTTTACAGTGAAAATATTCCATCCAGCATATGTACGTAGACACAGTTAATTATTCCTTTTTAAATAATGTACGGTATACTTTTAGGATTTTAAAATTGTATATGCTGCTGGGAAAATATATAATTTACATATTCTTTGGAATATCTACCAGAATACCGGCAGGAGATTAGGTGAAGTATAAAAAGAAAGACAACTTAATTAAATAAATAACTACAGCGGAAATAAAACTCGAACTAGAACAACTTGATAATGGTTAGGTAGTTTGTATAATAATAAGAAATTAACGCCTTTTTCCATAAATATACGTGTTACCGGAAATGTAGGAAATCTAGGAATTGTATACAATTATACATTATATATGAAAAGTATACATATATTCCGAGGCTATTTCAAAGATTTTTAAACACATACATATCCTCCGAAATGTATACATTTCCTAGGAATTGTATGAGATTCCGATATTGCACTAGGAAAAGTATAAAACTAATGTTTTCTGTGAACAAAACACTGCCTGGAGTTGCCTGTAACGAACGTTGTATTGAAGCGCGCTCACGGCTCAAGCGATCCCCACTACGAACTCGACTACGTGACCGAGTAGAGGGGGGACACCCTGTTGTGGATTGTACCTGCTAGCTACGAAATTTATTCTTCGAACACGATAACTACAGGTTTTTCCGTGACCGGCTACCTGAACTACCCCGTGCTACAACCAAACTTACCTACAATAGCAACTTTTATCTTCTATTTTTAATTCCCTTGTGTATTTATATTTTACTTTACTCTTGTCTTTTTTATTCCCGCTGTTTGGTTGTAGTTTCCTACTTAATCCCTTCTTTTTCTCTATTTTTTTGACTTCCTTACTTCATCGTGCAATCATCTTTTCTGTCTCTTTTTTTTTCTATTTTTATTCATTTTTATCGTAGAACCACCGCTCTTCTTTCTAACACTATATTCTCATGCATGCCCTGTCGTTTCCTATAGTTAGTTTTTTTATTTTTTCCCGCGAAGTTAACGATAAACGCGAATTCGTTTTTATCATTACCTTTCGCCCTTCTCTTATCACCCCACCATCATCCCACTCTCAACCCCTCTTTTTCCCAACCCTTGCGTGGTACTGGGGTTTGTATAAATAACCCTCATTCCTCAGTACCAGCATCCTTCGATCGACCTTCACAGCGAGCGAATCTTCTCAGCATACAGCAGCAGCCTACCAGTCTTCTACCCTCGACTATTCTCCAGCTGATCTTCGAGCAGACCAGACCAGTAGCAGCCTTCAACGGACNCGCTCTTCTTTCTAACACTATATTTTCATGCATGTCCTGTCGTTTCCTATAGTTATTTTTTTATTTTTTTCCCGCGAAATTAACGATAAAAGCGAATTCGTTTTTATCGTTACCTTTCGCCCTTCTCTTATCACCCCATCATTACCCCACTCTCAACCCCTCTTTTCCCAACCCTTGCGTGGTACTGGGGTTTGTATAAACAACCGTGCATCCCTCAGTACCAACAGCTCCAATATTCCACCGACCCACGGCAAGGAAGAAGGAGTTCCATCACCAGCCACCCCCGTTTTCTTTGCTTTCACCTAGCCGTTAGCCTCCGAGTGCCAGTTTGTAGAGTAAGTGTTTCAATCGGCGTTTTTTGGTCTTGCTCAGACTTTTTGTTTGTATATATATATTTTCTTGCCTGTATTTGTATTTTTCACTGTATATATTTTGTTTCATGTTTGTTCTTACTTATTTGTTATTCTAGTTGTAGTGTTAGGATATAAGTTAGGATTAGTGTGTGAATAAACTGTTTAAAAAGAAAGCAGACTTATCAACCCGTTGCACGATTTCGTTACATAGCAACTCGCATGAAACGAACTTACTCTACCGTGCGTAAAGAAGTTTCACTTCAAAAATCTTCGAAATAATATTTTATACATTTCCTTAATAGCCTCATAATTGTATACATTTTATACATTTCATACATTTCCGGTAGCACATACCCAGTACCCTTTACAGACTGGTAAACAGAAATCAACTAGACTTGCTTAACTCCTTCAAACTTTGTTTATATTATAATAATTATCCGTTTAATTATGTCTCTAAGACAAAAAGTGCAGCTCTAATAAAAAATTTAGTTTTGGGATTAAACCTTCGGGAAATATGAGAAAAAAAAAATAAGAAGTATACCTCGTTCCGCTCATCGGATGTTGCAGTTAAAGGGTGTGAAATGATAGTGTTAACTGGCAAGCAACATCTAAGCAGAACACCGATCAATTTACCTTAGCTATGATATGATGAATCGTGTACAACACTTACTTCCCGCAAATCTTACAAGGATAATCTTCTGGAGAGTCTATGTGACACACCGTCGTCACTGACGAGCGTCGTTCTATAAGCGAAAACGTCGGTGAATTACGGGCTGTACCACCATGTATCCGGATGTGACCGTTTAAGGCCGCCTTTGAATTAAAACTCTGAAATAATTATTAAAAGCAATATAAGGTACAAGAAATGTGAAGTACTTTGTTTAAAACCTAATTATACAGTGAATTTCATTTAAATTAGGTATAAAGATAGCGGTTGTAACCATTGGTGAAGCGGAGGGGGGACAATACCAATATTTTTGTGTTGATAAAAATTTGAAAAAAGCTGTTTTGTATGTAACCGTAGAAACTGCAAATTTTTATAGCAAATATAACAAAAGCTAAAGGTCGAATAGACGGACCCTAATACTTACTTTATGATAGGTACAAAGGCCGTTATTATAGTCGATTCCCATAGCACAAAAATGTATGTCGTAGAATAGCTACGATTATAAAAGCTGAAATTGTTACAATCGCAGAAAAACCAGAAACATGAGTGTCTGGTGTACTACAGATTTCACCTGTGTGTATATTTTAAACAAGACACTTATATTCTACGGACATTTAGCACTACATATGATAAATTTCATAAATGCCATCAGCAAAATGATGCAGAATCCTGAGTTATTGAAACTCATTGCAAAGGTATGGAAATAATACGACAATAAAAATACTGAAGATGCGCTACAATCTATTTGAAGAACCGAATTCTTTACAATTCTCGATAAGTCCTGAGATGAATCCTCAAAATCCTCTTGCTATTCTGACGTTTGTTTCTAAGTAAATTAACACGTTTTGAATTGAAATTTACAAATCTTGTATCGTATGGAAAAGAGCAGAAAATCATGGACTAAACTAAAAATGTAAGTTCTTTGTACATCTTTTCGCTGCAATCATGATCTTACATTATTGTAAAAATAGGCAGGGCGGCAAATTTAGGCTTCGCCCAGGGTGACAGAAATTCACGCTTCGCCACTGGTTGTACCGTTCTTTCGGTTATAGCGACATTAATCTTTGTCCTTTGAATTTTCAACGTTCTTTTATAACACAGACAGTTCCGACAGAATTCGACCAATCGAAATATAACGTTTTATCGTTGTTCCATCACTCCAAGTTTTTATTTGTTTTTAACGTTGTGAAAAGTGGCAACATTGTTGATAATACATTTAAGTGCGGTTATCAGTCAAAAGAGAGCACAAGAAGTCACGAAAAAAGTATAACAAAAATACCAGTATGCAAAGGAAGGAAAACTAGGGAAAAAGGAGACGAAAAATTAGAAGAAGTGACCCATTTTAGGTATCTAGGAAGTCAGATAAGTCAGAAAGGAAGGAGTAGTAGGGATATAAAGTAGAGGATAGCACAGGGTCGGGTCGCCTTCAATAAAAAGAAGTCACTTTTATGCTCGTGAACGGTTAATTTTGAAATTCGAAAAAGATTGTTAAAGGTGAATGTGTGGAGCACGGCGCTGTACGGGTGCGAAACATGGGCAGTGGGCGCGGAGGAAAAAAAGGTTAGAAGCGTTCGAAATGTGACGTTACAGGCGAATGGTGAGGTTACCGTGCATAGAGAAGGTTAGAAATGAAGAGATATTAGAAAACGTAAGAGAGCAGAGGACTCTATGGAAGTCAATAAGAAATAGGCGAGTTAGGTTAGTAGGACACCTTCTCAGGCATGAAGGTTTAGTTAGAGACATATTAGTGGCAGAAACGGATGTTACGAGGGGTAGAGGTAGACCTAGATTAGATTACTGTTCATAAATAGTTAAGGAGATGGGTTGTTCTAGTTTTAGGGAAATGAGAAGATTAGCTCAGGATAGGAAAGAGTGGAAGTACGTGTCCAACCAGTCTTAGGACTGACGACCTTATGATGATGATAATGTTCAAAACCAAAACCGAGTATGGTTGAAGAGTTATAGACATAACAATATTATGGAACTGTCTATCTATTAACTCATAATGAATAAGAAATTCATTTTTGTCTATAATCTTTGGGAGCGATGCGACGTTGATGAAGTTAAATTTTGATAGTCATAATCAGAAAATTCACCTAAAACTGATTATTTTTATTAATCAAAAATTACTTGTTTGAGAATNACGTTTAATGTACCACTCAGTTTGAAGAACCCTAGTATCGTAGTAATCTCAATTATATTATGGAACTGTATCTATTAACTCATAATGAATAAGAAATTCATTGTTGTCTATAATCTTTGAGAGCGATGCGACGTTGATGAAGTTAAATTTTGATAGTCATAATCAGAAAATTCACCTAAAACTGATTATTTTTATTAATCAAAAATTACTTGTTTGAGAATATTAGGCGCTCGATAGGGTTGAGATGCGGTTATTATGTCGGTCGTTGTATAACCTAGACGTCGCATCGTATGTGCGTTTTGGACTATTCTCCTGTCTGAACAGGTATAAGTACAAGCATATCTCCTACTTTACTCCTATTAGTCCACTCCATTGAAAAAAATCCGAGCAGAAATTTCTTAGTGAAATCCCTAATACGATCTACGCCGCATCAGGTTTTACTAGGGCGTACCCTATTAGGACACTGAAATGTTCTGATTCGGTATTGGTATCTATCTGCTAGGTTGTCTGATCAGGTTCTAATTTGAATTTCCCTATTCCTGATTTCAACTTATCTGGTCCTGATGTGGTATGCCTGACTTTGTCCTAATTTCCTTTTGCAGTCTTGAACCATCCAATTCAAATATCATCATGCAAAATTAAAGTTTTTTCAGAAACCAACGGGTACTTGGATGAAAGTCTGCTGCACAGTTTTACTTTACAAATCTTCGTTAAACAATTCTAATGTATTTGGATAAGAGAAATTATCTAAAAATGGTAGCCGTACTGTTTCCTTCCACGCTATTTTACCTATACAAATTGGTTTATATTTTGGCATATTTATTTCTTTAAAAAAGTAGCCAGTTAGCTCAATTTGTCTGCAAATATTCTTTTTTAAACTTAATTTTATTGTAAAGAACCTTACATTTGTCGCACTAATATGTTTGGATAATTTGATAGCTTTTGTGGCGCTTGGAAACAAATTCTTCTCGCCTTCCACCTGTAACGGCTACCTGGTATAGTTTCTTAAACTGAAAGGTTTTTGACTTCCGGGGCTATCGGTTTAAATTTTAAACATATTTTTATATACCATTGACTTGTCACTTTCGATATTCGGAGGAGGCGACCTGATCTTCGAGTTTTATTATTGTTTTTTTTTACATTGTTTTAATGTTTGCGATAAATGGGACCCCACGAACTCAAAAAAAGGCGAGAATTCAGCGTTAATAGTAAGTTAGTTAAGGCCATTTTAAAGTATTACACGTAAATACTTCGTATAAAGATTCTATTTTGTAAATATTAAAAGATAACCAGTCTTTAAAACTCATATCATATACAGATTAAAAAAAGGTTATATATGCATCCTTGTCATTTGTAGCGAGTATCAGCTTTGAAGCAAACTGATTTTCGTATGCGAGTGGATTTATATCTGTGGTTTCGGTAAAAAAATGATTCAGACGCCAATTTTTCTCCGGATCTAACTCTGCAGGATTTATTTGTATGAGATTGTATTAAACGTCAGTGCACAATGCTGATGATGTGAGAGACAGTAAGATGGTCGCTGCAAATGAAATTCGCCAAATGCCTGACTTTTTTCCCGAGTGAGAAATTTTGGTAGACGTCTTGAAGCTTGTCTTCTAGCTCGCGGTTTTAATTTTGAACAATTTTTGTAGTGTACGTATGTGATTCCCGATAAGTAGACGGTAACGATAAGTTGCTGTTTGTTGTTTGTTTCATTCATGCATTGGACAAGCGGTATTATTTAGTTTATATTCCATCCATGTGGAGCTGCTCAGTCCTTCTCGCAATCTGTACTTATTGTTAGAAATTTACTTGTGCTACGTTGATGTTTTCAAACCACGCTCAGGACTGCCTGCGGATTGTAATTTATTGTGGTTTTCTTACCTATTTTTTTGCTCGCTTGACCAATTGCTGTACTCTACTTCTAAATTACTTTTAGTTGACACCTTCAAAAGCTCCACACTTATTTCAGTTACATCCTTTATGATCGCCATGACGTGGGAAAGGATTTAGTTTAAGTTCAAACGAGAAGGTTGTCAATTCGATTGTATCCCTTTGTGTAAATATTCTTTGAAATTTGGAAAAATAAAATTTTTCCGTAAAAACAGATATACACGAGATAAATAAAGTAACCCTATATAAATATACAGGGTTCTTCAAACTAAGTGGTACATTAAACGTTTTTGGGAAACTATGCGTATAAAAGATCTGAAAATTTGGCAGTTTATCGAGGACTAAAATAATTTCCCCTGTCGCCCGTTTTCAATTATGCCGGAAGTTAATGCCAACATTGTTATTTTAAATGGAATGGTATATTTTTTACGACTAATTACAATGAATGACTACGATGAGTAGTTTTTGTCATAATTTAATTTAAAGAAAAAAATCGCTACCGCAACACAAATTATAAAACATCATAACTTCCATAAAAAATGGTTTAGAATGTGTAAATTTATACAAGATAGAGTCGTGTCTTATTGCTAATTTTAAATCGAAAATTGAGCTTCATAATTTATACTGGGCGTCCAAAAAAAAAATCCAAAGTTTAGAAATTTCAAACACGAATACCTTTTTTTCAATTTCGTAACATAGAAAAACGAAAGATAAGATTCTCATTAACATTTGCGGTAGCTGTTAATTGTCCAGTTAGTTAAAATATTTATTTTAGATAATTCAAATTATTCAAAAATTTTCAAATAAAGCAACATAAAACATCTACATGGATCGAAGAAGGATAATAAGGGGAATTGAACGACAAAATAAAATATGGTAGGTGCCATTTGACAAAGCGAAGTTATTTGTGTTTGAAGTTTATAAACTTTGCTTTCTTTATCTGAACGCCCAGTANACATTTGCGGTAGCTGTTAATTGTCCAGTTAGTTAAAATATTTATTTTAGATAATTCAAATTATTCAAAAATTTTCAAATAAAGCAACATAAAACATCTACATGGATCGAAGAAGGATAATAAGGGGAATTGAACGACAAAATAAAATATGGTAGGTGCCATTTGACAAAGCGAAGTTATTTGTGTTTGAAGTTTATAAACTTTGCTTTCTTTATCTGAACGCCCAGTATAAACAATGATGCTTAATTTTGGTTTAAAATTAGCCATACGACACGACTATAACTGTTAAAAATTTCAACATGAAATTATCTTTAAGGAACATACATACAATTTAGACATCTTTTAGAAGTGAGTTAGTTTAATATGAAATATTATTCTGAAAATTCATTTCTGAATTTTTTACCCACTACACACTACCTCAAATTAATGAGGGAAAAATTGTTGCTGTTGTCACATCCCCGCCGGGAATCGAACGCGGGACCTTTGGCTTTACACACCAATGTTCTGACCACTAAACGACGAGATGTGGGGATGTGACAACAGCCACAATTTTTCCTTCATTAATTTGAGGTAGTGTGTAGTGGGTAAAAAATTCAGAAATGAATTTTCAGAATAATATTTCATATCTTTAAGGAAGTTATGTTTTTTATAATTTAGGTTGCGGTAAAACTCTAAAAAAAACTATCCATCGTAGACATACAAATTGGTTATCAAAGTTACTTGAAAATTTTGTGTTTCATACGAATTTGTCGTAAAAATTATACCATTCTATTTTAAATAACAATGTTGCCATCATTTTAATTGGAAGGACCATTTTCAATAACTCCTACTGCCAAATTTTTAGATCTCTTACACTCTTAGTTTCCCAAAAACGTTTAATGTACCACTCAGTTTGAAGAACCCTAGTATCGTAGTAATCTCAATTATATTATGGAACTGTATCTATTAACTCATAATGAATAAGAAATTCATTTTTGTCTATAATCTTTGGGAGCGATGCGACGTTGATGAAGTTAAATTTTGATAGTCATAATCGGAAAATTCGCCTAAAACTGATTATTTTTATTAATCAAAAATTACTTGTTTGAGTATCGTAGTAATCTCGATTATATTATTTATTCGTTTATTGATTATGCGCCAAAAGAATATGGTAATATAAAATTTAGATTTCCTTAATTCCAAACTAAACAATAATATAACATCAGAAATTTACTGTTACTGAAATTTCATTTTTCAATCTTGGTCACTAGATCAGATGATTCCTCTTTCTCAAATGTAGGCATGTTTACTTCCATATCCTGAATTTATATGTTACTCTTACTCTCACATGACGTTTTCTAATACACTTCCGGTTTTGGTGGCATGTGCACAATAGCATTGTTTTTCTGACACTCACGTTCAAACAGTTCTGTGTGGGCTATGTTTATATCGTATTTAGAAGTATTCGGAAATGGAATTACCACATATAGAGGCCTTTTTGATGTAAAACTCTCTGTTTTACAACTTTAAATTAAGAAATTTTCTAATAGTTTTTATCGTTTCTGAAAAAATCTTATTGGAACGAAGTTCGACAGCAGAGGGCTAACCAGCACAATTTAGTGTTACTAGATGAATTTCTTTTTATTCCCAAATTTTTTTTTTATTTTCAAAGCCCAACAAGAATTCATTTGGTTCAAAAATTATAAATTATAGTAAATGAAATAAAAATCCTCATTTTGTTCCTAATCTGCGATTTGTTGCATGGCTCCATATTTTGTATAACATTTTGTATAACTGTTCTCGATTGGACCTATATGTAACTGTGCTGCTGTTTAAACGAAACCTTTTTTTATTTATTTTTGAGCACTGTATAATAAAGCAAATGTAGGTGATATAATAGATCTTACATTAAAGTAGGGAATAAGTTCTGTTTGAAAAGTTTTTGACGTGACAACGTCTTATAATTCGATGGAGCCGGCTGCACGCACGAAAAAACATGACTCATGCGGCGTTACCTCGCTCTGAGGCGTTCCATTTAAGGCTTGAAGTGCAAGCGAGAGCGCGGAACGAGCGACAAAGAGGCACAATCGGCCT